ATCTCTCCTCTGGTTGTTACAGTAAGTATGATATTCAAATGTCCCTACCTAGCACAATCAATTTGTAATTAAAATCTATGCATATTTAATCCCACAAGTATCTATCTGTTTTCGCGTTGCCCTTACAGCTCATCTTTGTTTGGAGCTTGATTAGCTGGAAGGGATTGGAGTATGAAGGTTACAAGTATCCATTTTCTGGGGAGCTCATTGGTTGGGGACTTTGCTTGGTCTCCATACTTTGTATACCTGGTTTTGCTTTTTGGCATATTACACGACTTCCTGGGTCACTGAAATCCGTAAGTGCATCTTAAGTAAAGTCTTTATTATAATACCAATTATTGCATAACGTCACCCTCTATATAATGATCACGYTAGCGATGCCGTTCATGTTCGTAGTGTGGTAACCTGAGTATTAGGCTCTCTGGGAGAAAAACAGAAGTCTTACTCAGGTTAGCAGTGTGGCTATTTTGCACGACCCAGAATCTCCATATTTTGTCTTATCTTTTCCCTGAACGTTTTTCAGCAACTCACGGCCCGGCAACGCATGACATAACTGTTATTTTCATTTTGTTATCAMTTTCATTCATATGATGGATTTATGGAGTGTGAAAAAAAATATGTGGAAATTAATTCTTAAAGTGTTGAAATTTATAACTACACGTTGAAAATTCTTATTCAATTTTTCAGCGTATCAAGCAAGGCTTCACTTCTCCAGCAAGCACAAAAGATCTCGACCAAACTTTCTCAGCTTATACAAAGATCAAAGCTTGTATCATCAATATGCCTACCAAACTAGATCACGTGCCTACCTCATCAATCGGAGAAACATACTCCACAGAGAAGGCGAAAATCGAAATACCACCAAAACGAGTCAAAAGGTGTGCTTACGATGACGTCAAAAGCTCCAAGTACACCAGGTCGTCATTCTTAGAAAATGGAGACCTGGTATAACTGTCTTTAGGGCAATATCGCTTTTATGAAAAAACATAAGTAATTAGATAGTGCTAAATTATACTCGAATTCCTTTGCTTTCTACAGTTTAATCCATATATTAAGTACTTATCTCTCTTCATCTTATCTTTGCAGTGAACCACTAGATTTTAGGAAGGCAGCTTTGTTACACTCCATGAAAATCCATATTGAAAGCCTTGTGTAGAAGAAATCGATGGTGAAAAACATATTTTAAATTCAATTAATCCTAGAAGTAAAATAATGTAAATAACTTTTGTGGTTTCTGTTTTCAYTATAAAAAAGAAACYKAAAGAGCAAATGAACTTAATGTTAGGTTTATAATGATTCGAAGTCATCGATGTCAATTGATAACCAATGAGTTCTACGACTTCTACACGTGCACATCGACATGGAATTAAAATAGTACATAATCCATCCCGTTTGTTCTTTAGCATAAAATTAATTATGGGAGGGATATCGCCCCTGACGAGCAGGGTCGCAAAGATATTACTATGAACAATTGGGGAGTTGRGGGTGCTCATATATAGGTTCTGCGCTCGTTGAGGTCTTACGAGTGCTTACGTCGTTTCGTACATTTAATGAAAAAATTGCGTTTGATAAATCATATTATGATGTAGATCATGGTATAATATTAAGGAAAACATATACAGATAATTCAAAGATTTCCTCACAGCACTGGGTTAGATGTGAGCCAATATATATTGCTTTTGTATCATCCGAGCCAGGGTTCAGCCCCAACCTCCTTCTCCCCCTCTCGTCGTCTTAATGCAAGAGTGTTTTTCATCTGGACCAATTAMAAATTAGAACAAGAAGAAACTTTGTTTATCAATAACAAAAAGGCGACTTTGATTATTTTATAGGTATCTTTTATTTTTTTTTAAGTATTTATTTTCTTTGCCTTAGAGGTCAACAATTTGAATTAAAAGCGTATTAGATATCATGATATCACTTAGCGACATTTAGTCTACCACKTTTGATTTTATCAGTTCAGTTGTATTAGGTAAATTACACTCTGTTCGCAGGGTATTAATTATATGACCTTTTAGGTCAAATTTAGATTTCTATCGATTTGAAGTCGTTGCAGAGAGCAGTCAAAAAGAATATTGTATCGTGTGAATAAACGTTTTGAACAGTACATTAATTAACGTGAAAGTAATGCATTCTTGCTTTCACTATGTATTAGAAGTAAAAAATATATATTCTACGCCATAATTTACATTCATGATATAATCATATGATTATRCAGAATATAACATCATAATCTTATYGTGTTTAAGCGCATCCATGTAATATCCTGTCTTTATCARTTTTCAAAAATTGATAGTCCGACTTCACGCTCCAGGAGCGTCTAGTTATTATCATTATTTTTTAGTTTTTGTATTTTCTTTCTATTTTGTAATCAATGTTCACTATAATATCCTACTTACTAGTGTAGTAAACTAAACAATGCATGCTCTGATGAATCAAAGTCACGCGGTAGATGTGACACTCATTGCAAACTTGACATTTCCAACGACCGCGACACTCCAAGTTATAGGGACATGAGAGCCTTCTATAGGTACATCAGAGCCATGCATATGGATATCCATATATGGAAGTCGTACGACAACCTATACTCCTTTTCATCCTCACTCTCTTAATTTTCATTCCAACTTTCCAAGCAGGAATTCATAACCCTGGCTCTGTTTTCTAWTGCCTTATGGACAAAATCTAACAGGTTGGTGTTGTTTGACTTACGTTTGTCAGGCGAGGCAACTGCCGGTAATGCAGCTGTTGTTGTTTCTTCTGTTTTTCGTAACATTGAATGTTTAAAACTCATGATGTCATCAAGCAGACAGGTTCGTTTTGTCGAACTAGATACTACTGAAGTGCACATTTCTCGGAATCAACAGTGYGACCAGTATATTTGAAATTGTGGGGATTTTCACCATTGCTGCGGTGTGGCTTATATCTATCAGCCGCATTTGGCTCTTTATCACTCAATATCATTACTTCAGAAGACGTCCTGTCCAACAAAGGAAAAAACAGATCTGGTTTCTGGTTTGCATCCAAACTATAGCATAACGCATCTTCTCTCATGGGTTCTCTTTCAAAGTTGCTTTGGATGTATGGAGCTCATGGTATCATCACTGCATGGTTTGTTGATAGTTTCAGCATCTAATGGTTCTGCACAATAAGTGCTGGCTGGCTGCAAGACACGATGRGCCTCTGGAAGCTCAGTTGTGTAAGGAGGAGGAGGTGTCCCTTTTAAATTAAGTGATCCCAGCCCAAGATTTGATGACCTTGGTGTTCCTTTCTCATACTCATTAATTATTCATGAGGTATCTAGCCAATCCCCTGATTGTAATTTGTACCACGTGCAGTAACTGGATACCAGAGGAAGTACTCCTACCTTGTATTCTATCTTATTTCCAGTTAGTTCCACCTTGTTTCTAGTTACTTCTATTTTATTTCCAGTTACTCTTACCTTGATTGTAGTTACTTCTAGCTTTTTCTAACTACTACTAGCTAATGATAGTCAAAGTATTAGAAATAATCAACTTAATATAGAATTAATTTAGTGAAAAAAGGTCTTTGATAAATGACTCCCTCACGAAACGATCCCGAACCGTCCAATCTATATGCGCCGTCTTATAACATTACACCACCGAGTTTCTGATGCGATTCCTTGGAAGATAACATACTTATAAAACTTATGAATTAGGCTCATTAGGAATGCCATGAAAAGCAAACAAAGACAATTTGAAAAGCTTCTGTTTCAGAAAGCCGTTCGGGAATTGGAAAAAAACAACGGTGCTTCTTTATTCAAAATTATGAAAACTGAAAACCTTGGTGGAGATGCAATAAATCAATATATTTCTGTTATATGTATTTCCTTCGCTTTTTTCCCCTCCCGAATAATTAATGAGTATGAGAAGTCGTTCAAAGTCCTCCAATTCGGACTGGACGGGATTTCAAGTCCTTGCAATTAGTTCCAGTCCTCGGGTAACGCCTCGGACTGGAACTAATTGCGCGGACTTGAAACCCCGTCCAGTCCTCATTGTTGGACTTTAAACATTACGTCCAATCCTTTGATGATGGGCCCTACCTCTTGTACTTCTAGTCCAGTTGCTGGAGAATCTAAGAGGTGTTTTAGGTTCAGGTTGTGATGACGATTGTATGGTATTTGCTGGAACTAATCATGATATTGGAAATTTGCAATTAGTTACTTTGTACCTTTTTGGCATCAMATTACTCAATAAATGAAGAGTTATTAGACTTTCATTCTATTGAAAATATGTAATACATATTTATATAGAGAGAGGATATTACATCATGTACGCGCAAAAATACGGATTTTATCTTCGAGTGTTGAAAAGATCTCTCACGAGTGAGTGTAGCGAGAGGCCTTTTTTCAACACGAGAAGATAAATTCGTAGCTCCAAGCGATTATAATATTCTGYTTTATGTTGTAGGTGTTAGTCTTTTTCCTATGCAATACTGACGATACGCAAGCTCTGTCTTTTGCATCTGCAAAAGTTTTTATTCTGATATAGCTAGAGTCACACGTATGCTTGGTTTCTCCAGTGTCTCTGGAGATTTTCTAACATGTTTTCCAAAATGGAAGTATAGGATGCATCAAATACTTTTGGAWGCCTGTATATGAATATGTTTGAATATGATGACATATCACCATTAGCAGAATCAGGGACCTCTGACGTCACGTTATTAGAYTTCATTCCAAATTTGCATTTTAATATGATCGCTCAAGAATACAAAGAAATGTATGTGAAGCTTTCGCTGTTATGTGCCGACTTCTATTCATTAAGTATACTCTCTATGTTTTGAGATCAATCATATTTGCATCGTGAAACTCATTCTAGAGGCTGCAAAATAAGTCGAAAGACAATGAGTTTACCCTGTATATGTATAGGTAATAGTGTGTTTTGTAGTGGTATATGGGATAAATACCACGCGTGATATTTCAAAATTGTCAAACAAAATTTCACTAGCGAAGCGAGTGAAATTTGTGACAAATTTTGAAATATCACAAGTGGTATTCATCTCAAATTCCACGTACAACACATGCCATTATTTGTTTATAAAATGATGGTTGAAT